AGAAGATCCTTACCGTGTGCCCCAGGTGGTTGGGTCTCATCACACAAGGCAAAAGGTTGCCAGTTCGATTCCTGGTCAGAGCACATGCCTGGGTTGCAGGTTTGGTTCCCAGATGGGCACACACATATGTAAGGGAACCGATCAATGTTTCTCTCTCATATCAATGTTTCCTTCCATTTCTCCCTCCCTTTCCCTTCCTCTAAAAAATAATAATAATAAATTATTTATTTACTTTTAGAGAGAGGGGAAAGGAAGGACTAAGAGAGGGAGAGAAACATCTTTGTGTGAGAGAAAAACAGTTGCCTCTCACATGCCCCCAACTGGGAACCAAACCTGCAATCCAGGCATGTGCCCTGACTGGGAATCAAACCGGTGACCCTTCAGTTTGCAGGCCGGCACTCAATCCACTGAGCCACACCAGCCAGGGCCAATAAATACATAATTTTTTTTAAAAAGGAAAGAAAATGTTCTCAAAGTACATAGTGGTGATGCTTGTATTACTCTAAAAACCACTGAACTGTACATGTTAAAAGGGTAATTTTATGGTATTTGAATTATATATCAATAAAATCGTTAAAGAAATAAAAAGAGAGGGATCCAAGATGGCAGCAGAGTAGGCAGAAGCTACACTAACCTCTTTCCAGGGCCAACTGGAATTACAACTAAATTATTGAAAAATCATCCTGAATAACCAAGTGAGCACAAACTGGAGGAAAGCCGTGTATAAACAAGGACTCTCAGAAGAAATGGCATCACCACATCAAAACTAGCAGGACGAGCAAAGGCTCAAGATGGCTAAATGGGTGCTCATGAGCAGTAGCTGAAATTCTGGGGGGAACTGCAGCGGCCGCCGGGGGGGGACCCCACTGGGAAGTGTGGGTTCTAAACCCCAAGCCAGGCTCCCCAGCCTAGAGCCAGGAAAGGCACCTACATAACATCTGACTATGAAAAGCAGTGGGGTTCCTGTCTGCCAGGGAGAGATGGCTTGAGACATAGCCACCCTTTTAAAGAGCCAATGTACAAAATTTTGTTTGGAGCCACTTACCCTGGGCTCCGGCAGAGGGACGGCAGAGTGGACTAGAGATGGGTGAGGAGAGTCTGGGGTTGGTGGCTCTGGGGAGAGAGAGCTTAAGAGTCAGCCGCCAGGATCCCTGTGATGAGTCGCACCCCATATTACAGAGTCTATCTTTCTCGGGCAGAGCACTCCCCTCCAAATGGCATCAGCCTGGGGGGACGCAATAGCCCTGCCAGCAGGAATCCTCCTCTCTCCACCCAGTGGAGCTCAAGCCCTGCGGAGGAGTATGGCGGGTGTCTCTTTTAGTGACTAAGTCTAACAGGCAGCCTGCAGGCGAAGGTGGGTCTTGTGGTGTTTTGAGACTCTTAACTGACCCTCCCTGGGGCCTGATGCTGCAGAAAGCCAGTCTTGGTGCACAGCTTGATCCTTTCCACACAAGTCCAGGCCCCGCAGAGGGAGTCACAAGTGTGGATGGCTGATAGCTCCAAACGGGTTGCTCAGGGCCAGTCACAGGCAGCGTCTGACATAAGTCTGAACCAGAGCCTTTACAGATCTACTTCATACACAGACACAAACTCAAAAAGGCAGCCAAAATGGGAAAACAGAAAACAGGCCCCAAATGAAAGAACAAGAAAATTCTCCAGAAGAGCTAAATGAAATATAGGCAAGCAATTCATCAGATATAGACTTCAAAAGTAATGATTACAAACATGCTCAACAGCATGAAAAAAGACACAGAAACCGTAAAAAAAGGACCAGTCAGAAATAAAGAATGCAGTATCTGAAATAAATAATACACTGGAAGGAATAAACAGTAGGTGGATGAAACAGAGGATCAAATCAATGATTTAGAAGACAAGGTAAAAAAACAAACACACACCCAATCAAAGCAGCAAAAAGAAAAATAATTTTTAAAAAATGAGGAGAGTTTAAGGGATCTTTGGGACAACATGAAGTGTAGCAACATCCGCATCACAGGTGTACCAGAAGGAGAAGAGAGAGTACGGGGATGGAGAACCTATTTGAAGAAATAATAACCAAAAGCATCCCCTAACCTGATGCAGGAAAAAGACACACAAGCTCAGGAAGCACAGAAAGTCCCAAATAAGATGGACCCGAAGAAGCTCACACCAAGACACAACACAATTAAAATCACAAAGCTTAAAAACAAGGGAAGAATCTTAAAAACTGCAAGGTATCCTGACTGGTGTGGCTCAGTGGATTGAGCACCAGACTGCAAAGCAAGGGGTCACGGGTTCAATTCCCAGTCAGGCACATGCCTGGGTTGTGGGCCAGGTCCCCAGCAGGGGGCACACAAGAGACAACCACACATTGATGTTTCTCTCCCTCTCTTTCTCCTTCCCTTCCCTGCTAAAATAAATAAAATCTAAAAATAAAAATAAAAAAATAAAATGAAGGCTATAGTTAGAGACAAAGAAAGACAATACATGATAAAGGTAACAATCCAACAAGAGGATATAAACCTAGTAAACATTTTTGCACCCATTATAGGAGCACCTAAACATGTAAAGCAGGGGTGTCCAACCTTTTGGCATCTCTGAGTCACACTGGAAGAAGAAAAGTTGTCTTGGGCCACACTGAATACACAAACACTGACAAAAACTGATGAGCCAAAAAAAAAAAAAAAAAAGGGCCAGGCATAATTTTCATGATATCTGCTACCACAGATAAGCAAAGAAGTCCTCACATAATAACCCTAACTATGTAGCAGCCCTTTAGATAATCTTTTAAAATTGTTGAGCAAATCCCAAGTTTGTGATCACTAATATAGAAAATGTACATATCTAAGTAATGAAACTTAGTAATAAAACTAAGGAATGTTGTTGTAAGTAAATGTATGATTTTGTGTAGGACTGCATTCACAGCCATCCTGCGCCACAGGTTGGACACCCCTGATGTAAAGCAAATCGTGAAGGACATACAGGGAGAGACTGATAGAAATACAGTCATAGGCAGGGACTTTAACACCCCATTGACTTCAATGGATAGATCTGCCAGAGAGAAATCAGCAAGGAGCTGGCAGCCTTAAATGGCACATTAGATCAAATGGTTTAATTGATATATTCAGAACATTTCACCCCAAAGTAGCAAAATATACATTCTTTTCAAGTGCACATGGAATGTTTTCTAGGATAGATCACATGTTAGGACACAAAACAAGTCTCAATAAATTTAAGAAGACTGAAATCATATCAAGCATCTTCTCTGATCACAATGGTATGAAATCAGAAATCAATCACAAGAGGAAAACAGAAAAATACACAAAGACATGGAAGCTAAAGAAATGTTATTAAACAATGAATACATAAACAATGAGATCAAGGAAGAAACCAAAGATACCTTGACACAAAGGAAAATGAGCACACAACAACCCTTAGGATACAGGGAAAGAGGTCCTAAGAGTGAAATTCACACAGGCCTATCTCAAGAAGCAAGAAAAATCTGAAACAATTTAACTTTACCCCTAAAGGAACTGGAAAAAGAACAACAAAGCCCAAAGTGAGTAGAAGGAAATAATAAAGTTCAGAGCAGAAATACATGAAAGAGTCTAAAAAAATAATACAAAAGATCAATGAGTCAAAGAGCTGATTCTTAGAAAGATAAAGAATGACAAACCTTTAATCAGACTCATCACGAAAAAAAGAGACGATCTAAATAAATAAAATCAGAAATGAAGAAGAACAACTGATGTCAAAGAAATACAGAGGACTGTAAGAAACTACTATGAACGACTACATGCTAACAAATTGGACAATCTGGACAAAATGGTTAAATTCCTAGAAACATACAATCTTCCAAAACTAAATGAGAAAGGATCAGAGAATCTCAACAGACAGACAACGAGTGAAACTGATACCTTTGCTATACATTACCAATGCTCCTTTCTAAAAATATGTAAAAAATATATAGGGCCCTGGCTGGGTGCTTAGTTGGTCAGAGCACTGTCCTGATACGCCAAGGCTGTAAATTCAATCCATGGTCAGGGCACATACAAAACTCAGCCAGTGAATCCATAAATCAGCCAAACAACAAATCGACATTTCTCTCTATCTCATATCAATACATAAAAATTTAAACTCTATCTCATATCAATAAATAAAAATTTAAAAATTCTCTTTAAAAAAAGAGGGTAGTGTGGCTCAGTTGGTTACAGCATCATCCATACACCAACAGGTTGGGGGTTTGATTCCCAGCAAGGGCAAAGCTCTAGGTTGTGGGCTAAATCCCCACTTGGGGCTCACATGGGAGGCAACCAATCAATGTCTGTCTGTCTGTCTCTCTGCCCCCTCCATCCTTCTCTCTTTAAAATCAATAAATTTATTTTTTTAATTACTTTAAATATAAACATATACAGAACTTCTAAGTTAAGAATATGTCGTATAATCCAACAGAAAACATGACAGACAATTTACACAGTAACTAATAATTAATAGACAAAAGCAGCTCAATCTCATCTATAATCAGTATACGGAACAATGGGATTCGATGTCAAAATCAGCACTTTTACTCTGCAACCCACTTGGCCAAAAAGCAAACCCTCCCATACACCGGGGAATACTTGCATCATCTCTTAAAAAATAGAGGCTGATAAGCCAACCCTCTCACTCTTACGTCCAAAATCTTTCCTATTTCAAACAGCTTACAATGAGTGTTTGCATTAGCTACTGAATTCAACTGACTGCAAACCAAACCAAAAACTACCACTGCTGGTGGAAATGCAAATTAAAATGAGAACTTCTAAAATTGAAACAGATCGACATAAACTGAAAAAGCTACCTCCCAATGCTGAAAGGGCGCGGGGAAATGTCCTCTTGAGAGTGTGAGCTGCCCAAAGTCCCTGGAAGGTAGGCTAGCAGTAGCTATTAAAATGCACAAATACATTTGTTTTGACCCAGTAACGCCACATTTTGCGACTCTGTTTGACAGAAATAAAGCCCTTCTATATCAGCAACATCCTCTGTACCTGTAACTTCTCTGTCCATTTTCTTCGCCTTCCTGTTCTTACTGAAACCTGGCTTTTCCCTGAAGGTACTTCTCCCCTGAGGCCTCTCTCTCATTTTTCTCCGTATCTTTGGTTTGGAAGTGAGAACTGTCCTTGTTCATTCCCGTTTTGGGGTATTCTTCTCCCCTCTTGCTTAAGAAGTCCACCTTCATGCAGAGGAGATTAAGAGAATGACCACGAGTGACGCTGTCCAGAATTAGAGTCACACCTCTGGACTTCCTTTGCTGTGTTCTCTTTCTCAAAACTGCCACGATATTGTAATAACTAGGCGTGGTGTCGGATGGTTACTAGGTTCATCAGAGTGATCACGTCGCAAATCGTATGATGTCTAATCACGGGGTGGACACCTGAAACTAACATAATATTGTATGTCAACAGTAATTGGAAATTTTTTTAAATTATTAAAAAAGAAAAACTGCTGACCCTGGCTGGGTAACTCAGCAGGTTAGAGCGTCTTCCTGATACGCCAAAGTGGGGGGCTCAATCCCCAGTCAGAGTACATACAACAATTAACCAATAAATGCATGAATAAGCAGAACAACAAATCTATGTCTCTCTTTCTCACCCACCCCTGCTTCCTCCCTCCCTCTCTCTAAAAATCAATAACTAAAAACTTAAAAAAAAAACAAAAAACCCTCCACATGGCTTTGCTGTTGGCCTCACTCACTCGCCTGCAGTTGAAAACAAATCAACACTTAGAGCCAGGAAGCCAGGAGTTCTGGATTCAAAATATAAGCTCGTCACTATTAACCATGGGTAACTTACCTACTGATCCTAGTCTGCTCACCAATACGAGAGCTACGCCATTTGTTCCTTGGGAGGAAGCAATGATACAGAGGATCTAGAGCACTTTGGAAAAAATAAATGCTTAAACGACATGAAAAACAAAAACACCTTCAAATCTCAAAATTTCATCGGTATCCCTTCCTCGTGGGACCATGTGCTCACTTCAAATCACTGCATTTCACTCTAAAATTTTGGCTCCAGGATTCCTGTCATTCTCTCCAACTCTATTAGTGTCCTGGTGATCGTACTATTTCCATAACTGTTCCAATACTTGGGTCTCTCAATGCCATGCCTACCGCTCCTCCACTCACTCCAAGGTTCAAACCCGAGACCTCACTATTACCGATCACGGCAAGCCCCTGCACACTCTGCCTCCACACCCTCCTACCTTTTCAACTTCCTCCTTCTAGTGCCCTGTCTCTAAAGTCCTCGACCCTGCCTGGGCCTGCAGTCCACTGATCCTACCGCCTTTCCACCGAACCTCAGCACTTCTCAGGGGACTCTGACCCATCATAACCTCTACAGCCAAAGGTTATAATAATCACTCTCTTCCTTGCGCACATCCTCAACGCCTCTGTCACTCTAGCGCGATTGTATTCCCTTGGCTAAACCACCACCTTTTAGGATTCCCAGTCTCTGGCTCCTCTGCGCCTGTACCCTCACAGCTGAGGGAGGCTCACTGGCCTTACTTCAAATGACTACGATCACTAACCCTGGGCGGACGCGCGGCACTGCCTGCCTTCCCACTAGCCGCCCGGCCCATTCACTCCTGCCCTCCTGGACGGCTGCACCTTCTCTCTCCTCAAATTCCAACACCAACACCGCCTCCGCCCTCAGGATATTCTTAGTTCATGACCTTGTTTCTTATTTCACAGAAAACAAATGATCAAAAGTTCCAACCTGCACTGCAACTGACCTACCTGCATCTGTGCCGTAGGTCCACCTTCTCCTGTACTACAGCCAAACTTACCCGTGCTCCTGGCAAAGGCCAATTCCTCCTCTTGCCTTGACCGCCTGGTCCTGCCCCCTCGCACTCACTCAGGGATATCGCAATAGCAATTCTCCTTGTGCATCAGATCCTGTCTCTCTAATGCGTGCTCCTCAGCAGCATACAAACATGCTGGTATTTCCTCCAAATTTAAAATAAAAATAAAAATCACTGTCTCTTCCCCACTTCAGATCCGGCCCAATCTTTCCTCTTTATAAGGCAAAACCCGCAGAAATCTCCAATTTCTCATGCTATTCTCTCTTTAATTCACTTTAATCAAGTCTTCACCTCCCCAACATTCCCACAAAACTAGCCAAGGTCACCAATGACCCCCACAATGTAACGCCAGAGATCTGTTCTCACTCCCCAAGTTACTCCCGTGCATCTAGGACAATACCCTGGTTCTCCTCCTGCCTCCCCTGCCCCTTTGGCTCCTTTGCCCAGTCCTCACTGCCGTGTCTTCTCGGCCTGCTGATGACTGAGTGCTCCAGAGCTCAGCCCTCTGATCTCTTCTTCTGTGCGGATACAGCAGCCCCCCCTCACCTGGGGTTTTGCTTTCCACAGCTTTGGTTACAGCTGGAAATACTACATGCAAAATCCCAGAACACTTCATAACTTTTAAGTTGTGTGCCGTTCTAAGTAGTGTAATGAAATCTTGCCCTCGCTGGTGTGGATCAGTGGACTGAGCACCAGCCTGTGACCCAAAGGGTCACTGGTTCAATCCCCGGTTAGGGCACATGCCTGGGTTGCGGGCTGGGTCCCCGGTGGAGGGCATGCGAGAGGCAGCCACAGGCTGATGTTTCTCTCTCTCTCTCTCTCTTTCTTTCTCACTTCCATTCTCTCTAAAAATAAATAAATAAAATCTTAAAAAAAGAAAATCTTGCAGTCTCACTTGTTCCACCCGGGACGTGGGGTCACCCCTCTGTCCGTGCACCTTCGTCGTGCGTGCGGGTCAGGCAGTAGCTACCTTAACGCCGTCTCTACAGTCTCACAGTGCCTGTGTTCAGGTCACCTTTATTTCACTCAATGATCGTTCCAAAGAAGGGTAGGGAGGCTGGCAATTCGGACGTGCCAAAGAGAAGCCGTAAAGGTCCTCCTTTAAGTGAAAAGGTGTGTACGTATCGGGAAAAAACAGCACACAGTGGGCTCTGCGCTGTCTGCGGCACCCACGAGGGTCCTGGGATGCGTGCCCCCCGGGCTCAGGGGGCCACCGGACGTTCAGAGTCCAACTCCTCCTCATAGCTCCTCCCTCCTTCCTCGGCCGAAGCAGTCCTGCCTCACTGCAAAGTCCCCTAACTGGTCCCCCTCCCCCTTATCTTCCTTCAGGCTGTTCTCAAGAAAATAGCCAGACTGACCCTAACAATCGCGAATCCTGTCACTACTCAAATATTGGGTTGGCCAAAAAGTCCATTTAGTTTTTTCCCATAAAATAAAAGACACATTTTTCATTTTCACCCATAACTTTAATTGACTTGGCTATTCTGAGTCTGCCGGCTACCTCCCACTCTTAGCTTCTAGTGGGTAGAGGCCAGAGGTGCTGTTAAACATCTTTCAATGCACAAGACAGCCCCACAGCAGAGACTTATTTGGCCAAAATGTCAATAGTACCAAGAAACTTCACAACCACTTTTGACACGTTCGATCAGTCCCAGTACCTTTTCCACATTCTGAACAAATTTTGTGCATTTTTACCTTTCTTGAAATAATAAAGCATAATACACCGAAAATGTTGCGTATTTTCTTCCATCTTTAGTATTAAAATGGCTGCACAAAAATTCACCAGTTTTAGGAAGGTTTTTTAAAGGCACACAGATATGACAGCTGTCACAATACAATTTAACAAAATGGTTTCGAATGAAGTTAAAGACAATGAAACACTATTAGAGCCGTGGTATGGGAAAAAAACTAAACAAACTTTTTGGTCAACCCAGTATTTCGTGGCTACCCACCTTCCCTCTGAGTTTAAGGGAAAATCTTTACGTAGCCTGTAAGGCCATCCGTGAACAGACCCTGCCTTCAATTGCCTGGCCTTACTCCCACTACCCAGACCCCCACCAAACACGGTCCCCCTCAGCCATGCCTTGCACAGCCGATTCCCTCAACCTAGCATCCTGACTTTGTTTCACTCTTCCTTCAGTTTTTCACACAACAGACACTTTCTCAGTGAGATCCTATTTAAAATTAAACACTCGTCTCAAAATTCCCTATTTATTTCTCTCTACAGCCCTTATCACCATCTAACATAATTTACATTTCACTTACTTATTCTGACTCTTCCCGGTCTCCTGCCACTGAAATGTGAGCACCACAAGGGTGAGAATTATGTTTAATATACTACTGTATGCTGCACCTCAAACTGTAACTAGCACACAGTAGGTGCCAAATAAATAAGGGTTGCCTGAGAATGGAATAAGTGTATACGCACAAGGACATTCATTGCAGTGTTATTTGTAAGAAACCAAAAAATGAAAACAAGCTGTCTACCTTGTCCTGTCTACCAAAAATACAAATAATTATAATAATGTGTAACATCCAAATGCTTCATGTTTGCCAGTGCATTAGATATACTAACATTTAATTACTGAAACAACCCTATGAGGTAGGTAATATCAGCAAATGGATGAAGAAACTAGTGCAGAAAGGTTAAGTAACCTGCCCAAGGTCACCAAGTTAGTACAGCAGGTCCTCAGGATCATTGCATTCAACTTCATTTCGTTATGTAGCTGACAAGATGCCACAGAAACTCAGCTCTTGTTTACATCAGTTAGCCTCTGGTAAAACTGGTTTCACTGAATACGTCATTTCACTTCAAGTCGCAGAACCTATTAACAATGTTAAATGAAGACTTACTGTAATTGGAAAAGCGAGGTTCCAGTCCAGGCTCTTGCTCCAGAGTCAGCCTTCATGACCACCTACGCACTGACTCTCACACGTATAATGTGATCCTAACACAGTCAGACAAAGAGAGCGGAGCTCTTTCACCCAGTGAGAATGGGATCTACAACTAGCCAATTAATTGAAAAGCCACTTAAAGTGAGGAATGCAAACATTCCATACATTAGTTAAATATTTTATTTAAACACAAAGCATATACATTATGCAGCAATCCTCTGGTGAAAATCCACCCTGTTCTTTAGGGAACTGGTCCACTGACCTTCTTTGAAGTCTTTCTGGCATAAACCATATCCCTAAGACACCAATTTGATTCCTTGAAGTGGACTGCAACCTCAAAACTTGCTCCGCAGTAAGTGTATAATCCTCAGTGATTCTCCCGAAAATATCTTTTAAAAAAAATTTTATGTATTGAATTTAGAGAGAGAGGAAAAGGTGGGGAGAGAGGGAGTGGAGAGAGGCGGACAGATCAATCTGTTGTTCCATGTATGTATGGATTCATTGGCTGATTCTTGTATGTGCCCTCACCAGGGATCAAACCTACAACCTTGGCGGGTTGGGACGGCACTCCTCAACTGAGCTACCCGGCCAGAGCTTCCCCAAAGATAGCTTCACACCTGTCTTGCCCACACCTAAGTGCACAGCAACTTTCAGCAACTTGCCCCTCTCGAGACTGAAATGTTTAAT